CATAAAACACTCATTTTCTAAACTAGCATGGATTCAGTTGGTATGCAATTAAACTAGAGGTCTGAATTAAGAAAATAGAATAAGTTTCAGGGCTAGCTTAGAAAAATTCTGAAAAGAAACGAAAAGCCTGAGGTGAGGGCCCTACGCCTGCGAAGTGCAATCGTTACACGCAGCTGCACCGAAACTAAACCCGGACGTGTTCTCCGTCGAAAAATCGGATTTGATAATCGGCGATAGGTCCGGGCACCTTTTTGTAATTTTATGGTGCATTGCTTGATCGTGGTTGGGTCTTTCGGGGCAGGAAAAAAAAAAAAGGAAAAAAAAAGAAGAGAACGCAAAACCCAACGCACACAAGAAGTCGGCGTTCTCAGCACCGCCGAACCCTATTTCACCGATTTCTCCTACATATCGAAATTTGGATGGTCCAAAACTCGTAAGTAATGCTATTTTGTGTTTATTTTTGGATTCGGAGGTGATGAATTTGTTGTTTCTGTTGAAGATTGATGAATTTTTCTGGTTTTGTTTAGCATTTCTGATTGGATCGATCGCTGTTTGGAGGCAGTATGTGGTGATTTTGCAGGTTTGGTTTTGTGATTCCTGGTTTTCTCGGTGACGGATTGTGAACTGATCGGCGCTTTGGTATCTTAGAAGGATTGAAGATGGATTTGGTAGCTAGTTGCAAGGTATTTGCTTAGCTTTGCATGCATATGATTTGAAATTAATCCGTAATTGCTTTGTTTTTCTACCTGTAATTTGATTTTTGGTTCTGTTAGTTGCTTTCTTGTTCAGAATTGTATGTAATTATGCAAGGCAGGAGATCTTTTTGGGGATTAGGGCATTTTGTAGTTTGAAGAAGTAGCTTGATTTCCTTTTTTTTGGAATTTATGACTAGTTGGGAGACGTTATGATTTTATTTTCAATATAGTAGTTTGGTTTTATTATCACAATTTGGAGTGATGTATGTATAAGGTGTAGACTCTCAAGAGGGAAAAGCAATTGTGTATGCTGAAGACATATATAAGTGAATAGGGTGAAATCTTTAATTCATGGAGAAAAATGCAGCACCATTAACCACTTGCTTCTTGTCATGAGTTGATGCTTCTTTATTGTAGCTATTTAGCTTTTTATATGCTTCAAATGGAAATTTTAGCTCCAGTGAGTAATTTTGTTAACCTTACAAATCTTTTGGTATATAGTTCCTTTCTTGTCAAAGTTTTGGTTCCCTACCTTGATTTTGCGATGAAGAGTTAATGACAACTTCCCAATACTCTTGTAGGATAAATTGCAATATTTTCGAATAAAAGAACTCAAGGATGTTCTCACTCGGTTGGGTCTTTCGAAACAAGGGAAGAAGCAGGTCAGAGGTCCAACATTTTACTAATCTCTTAGCTACATTCATTTCTGTTGTATGGAATTTAAGTACATGGATTACTTTTACTTGTTTTTTGAGATTAGGTGCCTTTTGCTCATTTTTATCTTAGAAACACTAAAATTTTAGCAATTAAGTTATTTCT